AATCCCCATTGACCCTCAAAAGCCTCTTTGAGGGGGTGCCGTTCGAATGGGGGTTTCCATCTGAGGTCTCGAAGGGTCGAAGAACCAGGAACCAGACCTACAAAGGCTGAAAACAGCACGCCTATCATTGAAATGACTGCTTCTACAGTTTAGATCATTTGTCTCCTGTGATCAGTTGTCGATCAGACTTGGGGCTGCTCAAAGTCGTAGCAAGCAGTAGCTGAAGAATCGATGTGAGAGGCTGTCAAAGGCTGGTGGACAGTTGAAAAGAAAGGGTGTGCAGTGGCCAGCCCAACCACCAGGGTATCAAATTCAATGAAGCCAAGGCCAAAATATGAAAACATGCAAACATGTCAACATGTCGGTCTTTCCGTGGTGGTCATCTCCCTTCAAGAACCAGGAGGTCAATAACCATTGGACAAAAACAAAACAAAGCAAGTTTCGCCATTTTCCAAGCAAACCACTGTCCAGCATACAAAGATTGGACCGCCAGTCATGGAAGATTCTTCCCAAGCATCAGATGTTCGTGGATCACTTCCACATGACGAAAACTCATGAAGCGCTCCTCCCGAAAACACGCCCAGACCCCCGACCCCATTCGTCTTCGTTGCCCTTTGTTTGGACAGGTTCGTCTCCTCACCCCACCCCGGGTCCATCGGCCGGACTCCCCAGGTTTGGGTCCCCGAGTCGCGCCACGCGGTCACTCGCTTTGTTGCGTCGTTCGCCGAAGACGGGGTGATTCCCCGCTGTCTCGACCCGAAGCGGTGAAACCGGGAGGTCCGCCCCACCAAGCCAGCAAGCTGCACGCACAGCGTCGCTACGCACCTGCCACGAGTGGTGTCCGTGTGGTTGGTAGTTGGTTCCCTGGTGTATTTCGGTTCCGTGGAGGTTGCTGAAGCTGGTTCCTTCTGCCAATTCCAGTTCCAGTTCCGGAGAGAAGCACGAGTTCCGGGCTCCAGTTCCCGGGTCCCGCGGCGAACGCACACTCGCCACGTAAGCGCACACCGTGACGATCCAGCAAGTCTGTCTCTACCAAGCCCCAAGCCCTGCACGACTCATGAACAACAAAGCTCCGCTTACGAACTCTGTCTTCGAATGAGAGGAACACTGACCTACTCTGTTTTACTCAAAAAAGAGCTGTGGATCTCCACATCCATCGAAGCTATAGCTTAGCTACGCACAAAAACGACCCCAACCGACTCCCAAAACGTCCGACGACGTTCCGATTTTCGGCAGCGCGGTACTTCCTGTGACTACAAGTCGCAGCCGTCACAGGCCCTCCAATGCTGACGAATTCACCAGGAATGCCACCAGGTTTAAAACTGCTTGAGGCGAAGTCTCCGGCACCAATTACCCTCCCAGCCTCCTTCTGGTCTTTATCTTTGTTCGGGTCAACTCCCCAAGATCTCACCAATCACCAGCTTGCCCCCATCCCACAGGCTCGACCAGTATTTTTTAGTGTCTGTTCCTTTGGATCGAAATGGGCTATGGCGGCTATGGGTGAGTCCAAAAGCCTGGAAAATGAGATCTACAAGCCAGCAGTCACAAAGGGGTGGTGTTTGGTCCCTAAGTGAGTAGATAATGGGCACCCCTAACCTCCAATAGGCACCCCTTTGTGACTCCTGGAGATGAATTCTAAGTTGACGACTTCGCTCCGCTGACAGGCATGGGATCCGCAAAAAGGATCCACCGCATTTTCGGGTCGCCAGCAGCTTTTGGAGCGTCACTTTTCAAAAAAAATGCTCCTACTAGTGGTTGCACTCCAATTAAAAGCACGAACTCGGGGGGCAGAGGCACCCAAAACATCCAAGACAGTGAAAACCTCGCTCTGTTTGCGTGGAGATTGGGGATGAGGACTCAAGGTGTCAATCTGGTGGGGGCATACCTGAAGCTCCTGTCGCCACTGGAGCTCACGGAAAACACATGATAGATCGATCGGACAAACCTTTCACCCCCACCTCATGTAATGTAGACTCTTGATGATGTTTCACTCCCACAATACGACAAGAGTATTTTTATGTACAGTATTTTTTCAATCCATGTCTGGGGGGTTAACTATTGCTATTGAATCAGGAGGTGTGCTGCCCTCAAGCCAAAGCAGGAGACCCTCCAAACCCCTGGAGCCTGGACCATCGGCCTGGACCAAACCGGAGGCGACCGGTGGAAAGGCTGGGCAAACCGGAGACCGTCGCCCGCCCGAAGGGCATCGAGCGAAGAGTCTTTGGCCGAGCTGGCATCAAGCCGAGCTCGCGCTTTTGGAAAAGACATGGGTGTGTATTTGCGATAGGGAGAACGCCAACCAATGGGGTTTGAAGTCCATGTCCTGAAAAGGATATCGTGGCGAAGATCCTCCTATCCCCTATTTTACACATCCCAGTGCCAGCAGTCCAACCATCTGTGCGGACGGCCAGTTCGTTCACTGCAAAAAGCGAATGGAGCGGTCCAAACACCCAGATGTTCCATGATTCTTCGGCGCCTTCATGGTTGATCCGCAGCGAAATAAACTTCCACTTGCATAGATGCAAGTGCTGTACACGACTGGTCTTGTCCTACAAGTCACAGCAGGAAGTCGTGCGCAAAACAATTGAAACTCCTTTGGGTGTGGCTCTATTGAACTGTATTGAACTCTATTGAACAACCAGCTGATCCAGCAATAACATGCAACAAAGGTGTTCTTTTCTGAGAAACTGTCATAGTTTCTGGCCAAGGCCATGGTTTTGGCCCATTTTTTCACTTCAGTGACATGTCAAACCTTTCTTCAGCAGCGATTTCGCAAAGATCCCATCGCTGGTGTTTAACAGAAAAGCCTTGGGAGGCTCTAAGTGTTCGTTATGACAACATCTGATAAAAGAACGGCCAGGAGAATTATATCTCATTATTTTTTGTCAACCTGGTGCTGTAGGCACTGGACTCAATAGACACGGTTACAAGACTCACTAGACACTGAGATTCTTCTACGAACGCACGCGATCACTCTCGAGCAAAAAAATGCCAAGTGTTCACGTGGTGCGCTGAGGAATGTGTTTGCTTCCTTGGGGCTTTTCTTGGGAAAAAATTGCAAAAAAGGGGATTCACTCCTTAAGTCCTAAGAACATTTAAGCTATGGAAAGTTCATCAAACCAGCCGGGAAAGAACCAGCTTCGATTTTGGACACCATGGCCTCACATCCGTGCGGTTTCACCGATCCGATGCATATAGAGAGACCTCCATCGAATAGTGCTGCACCCTCTACATATAATATATCTTCTTCAAAAACCCTAAGCCAAAAGCATGCCTTGAGTCCCAGTGTTTCTTTGCCTGTCATTTTTCAGACAGCGTCAGATACGTTTTCTGCAGACATGTTCAGTTGTTCGTGAACAGGTATTTGTGGGTGTACATTGCTGGTTCATCCTTCGCTGGTTCATGGTGCTTTGTTTTCCACGTGCAAGGTGCACGTCGTTTCATGGTTCTCACGGTCACGGTCGGTCATGGCGTCTGCATTCGCCGTTGTTGTTCAGTTCCGGCTTTCACCGACCCCCAAAACGCGACCGTCTCCCCGGCGACCGTCTCGAAAGACGTGGACCTCCTGGGGGCCGCTGGTCTGACGAGCGCGATGACTCGTAAAGAAGAACCGAATGGCGATGGCCTCCACCTAGTGACTTCTTGTGACTGGGAGCGATGGCCTCCACCCTAGTAGCGATGGCATCCTTGCTATTTGAGTGGCTGGATGAGGTAGCTCCCTGTGGGTGGTGAGTGAAAATTCCCTGTGGGTCCCTACTTTCGTCCGTCGCACGAGTGTCTGAAGACATCCTGACCATCCGAAGAACTCACCTCGTTGGCGGTCGAGACCGGGACCCCTCGATATACCAGGTCGGTAGGGCCTTTTTCCCAAGTCCAGTAGTCGAGCTTCGTCCCGGTGCCACAGTTTAGCCACCTCGTTTGGCGGTTCGGTGCAGCCGCCCCGGTTCGGTTCGAGAAAGGGATAGGTGGGAGGTGGGAGCGACAGGGGGTCTTTCACTGGGAGGTCTCCCTATTTTAAGACACACGCATCTTCAGCCAGAGAGTCGAACTTGCTGCGAAGCTGGTCATGAGTATTGGAAGGTTGTTCGAGTTCTCGCGCGACATGCTTCGACCTCACCAAGTTACATGGCAAGGATGTATCAACTCCACACCCTGATGGGCAATGCCCCAAGCTCGAGTTTGCTACTGGCCCCTGGCCAGTTGCAGCATATGCAGTCGAAGCTTCACACAGCTGGAGATGGCCAAATGTACGGCTTCATCCACATCCGTGCAAGAGACTTCTGCAATTTGAAACAAATTCTGTTCCATTCCTGCTCCCTCTCACAAGCCACACCTGAATTTCAGGAGACTCTGATCATCTGTCGTTCTGTCGTTCTTGATGATCCATGAAGAGTGGAGTCTGCGCTATGAGGGGTCAGGTCAGATCTCAACTCTCTCTGCGCCCAAACCTACTGAGCATGACCCATCTGATACACAGACAGAAGGGCAATCCAGGACGTCCCAGAGCAACACAGACAAGACCAACTTGCTCGATCGATTTCATCAAGTTGAAACGCTTCTTCTCTGGTTCCAAGTGGCACCTTTCCGAACATCAAAGTTTACTTCCGATTGTTCTTGCCCTTCCATTACAAATTGAAACATATTGAAACTGAACCTACTCTCTCTAAACGCTAGATTTGCAGCACTGCTACTTTCTCAAGACATTTGCCTGGCATCAACAGGCATTGACAGTGCAGAAAAGGAGGGTTCTATGCAGGACAACCTTCCCACTCATGGCCAGACGAGTAATTAGAAGGCATAGCCAAGAACCAATACCTGCTTCTTTTGCAACCTTGGGACCATTTTGTTCCGTGGGAGGGTCGAATGCTCCATTGATCTTGGACCTAGCAAATGTCTGAAGCCCAGTTGCTGAACCCCCAAAAATTGATGCTGAAAACGACAAAACCTTTACCCCCACACCAAAGTTAAAACCCAGTTGCTGAAACCTTTGCCGAAACCATCTATAGTTTCTGCACTTGAGATGTATGACAGGCTTCCAAGCTTGGGATTTGTGTTGAAATCGATCCTTCTCGTTGAAATCGATCCGTCCTGGAGCCGCGCCGCGACATCCAACACTCAGAGCTGAAAGACGATGTCGGATCCTGGAAGGCTCCGAGCAAAGATGTTGTACTGAGAAAACACCTATGGCCAGTCTGGCCAGCACCTCAAGTGATGCACCTCAAGTGCATACTCCATACTCAAAGATGTTGTCCAAGTTGGCTGAGGTTTGGAGTCAGCCACCTGAGGTACTGACTCAAAGACTCTTGGGGTCTGGAGGATGCACTCCCCCTGTATGAAGAGGTACCATCTAGCTGTCTGGGTGGGTATTCTTCATCGGGTCTACATGGTGCCCTGGGTCATCACCCCCTGCTGGCCGCAACGACAGTTGATGGGCGACTGACATGGATGCAGAAAAAGTCTCGATGAGTCCACAAAGGATCTAATTCTACAAGTCGTCCTAGAGTATTTCATGAAGTCCAACTGAGTCCAACTCACCTGTACAGTATCCTAGATGCTTTCTGGGGTGTTGCCCACACGCACGCGCTTGCTATTGGCACTTCGCCAAAGCCTTTTTGACTGTTCGCATGTGGCATGAATTCATCCATCGGTTTCATGGCCGTTTCAATCAGGCTAATTGAAACTTACCACCGGAATTTTCTCCTACGTGATCATGAAAGTCTAAGTAAAACATGATCACTTCGGAAATCCTTGAAGAAAAGGCTGTGCTCGCACCATCACTTGGGGCAACAGACCAGATCACTTGGGTCTGTGCAGCCCTGAGTTGTTCCGAGACGAACAGACGTTCCATCCGAGTCCGACCCAGCCGAGTCCGACCGAGCTCGGGTGAAAACGAAGCTTGGCGGCTTGGCGAAAAGGAGAACGGTGTCCTCCCCTTGGGTGTCAAAGGTTCCAGGTTCCAGGTTGCCGCATCGACACTTCCGACGTGTTCTTCCAAGCCCTTGGTTCAGTGTCCGCCTCGAAGTTCGAACTTGGGCATGAGAAAGCGGGCGTCCATCTCTGAAGGGGGCATTGGAGGGGTCAACGGAGGAGTCAGCCTTGGAGGACTCAACACGCAAGACGCTTTGGTGGCCATCTGTTTGTTGGGAGTGGTGTATACACATGTTGTACACCGACAACGCAGGATGGTAAGGCTAAGGGTCCAACCCTGCTTTATCCAACGAATCTACAAGTCAGGTGGCATCTCGTCTCAACAGAATATTCAAGTCAATGTGTTTGGAGGCAACTTACCCAAAACACAAGCAACACCTTGAAATTGTGGCCCATTCAAGCCATGTTCAAGCTCAGCAGTTGAACCTTTCTGTGCAGGTGGCTTCCTCTGTGCCCCATGTCTTCCCAAAGAAGGACAAGCTGTTCTCTTTGCGGTTCTCTTTGCGGTGTAGCTTCTTGCCCCTCTCCAGTGCTCCGGTCTTCTGTGAACATCAACCGGGGAGAACGACCGAGTTGGGGGGGAAGAAGGCCGGCCCCAAATCCCAGCTGCACAGTCCAGCTGGATGCAGTGTTTGACTCACTCATTTCTGGCTTCTGATCGATTCTTCAGACCCTGAACCTTTCCAAGAAAGGGACAAAGCAATTCTTCAGCAACTACTCAACCTTTCCTTGCAGCTGTGAAGATCACAAGAGTCTTGAGGGCGTCCTGCATGTTTACTGAAGACCAAGTACTGTTCGCAGAGTCACAGAATCCTCTGAAGCCTCGCCCTTCAAACCTGCTCTCTTGTTTGCAGCTGGACAGCAGGTGGTAAACTAGCTCTCCTGATGGCATACCTTTCACTGTCGGCGCTGCCTCCACTCTTTGGTTCCTTCTTGGGCGCATCACTCTTTCTTCAAAACACCTCCCTGAACCCACTCTGAACCTATGACCTCTAAACCATCACCACCAAAAAGGAAATACACACCCTGCAAGGCCGGGCGACGGCTGGAGGCCGGGGGGAGTGCTGCAAGGGCTGATGCGCTTGGCTTTCGGTGCCTGGAAGGCTGATGCAACGCGGGCAGGCGGCCAGGCTGGGCCGGAGGAGCACGCCCGGTGTTGGTCAAAGATGCGTGGCGTTGCAGGTTATAGTATGTTATAGTATGTATGTTATAGTTCTTAGTTCTAGTTCTATACATCGTTATAGTATGTTATAGTTCTTGGTTAGTTCTCCGTGTCTGAAATCTGTACCTTCGGCATGACTGCTTGCCTTGCAAGCAGAAAGATATCTTAGAAACATCTCCAAACTGGGAGTCAGAGTGACAACACGCAAATGGCATGTTCGCATCCTGATCAACATAGGACTCTGTGCCGTTCGCTTCACCCGCCCTTCAGAGACCGACCGACCCTTCGCCGCTTCACCCGCTTCTGGGGCGCCCGCCCCGGAAGAGCCCGGAACCTGCGCGCGCGCCTTGGAGGTGGGAGCCTTGCCCTTCACCTTCCGCGTCATCGAGCCCGGAAGCTGTTCCAGGAACTCCAAAAGAATCTCATCCGTGACCTGCGGAGGGGGAGGGCTCTGGAGTTACTCACGGAGCTCCCCAAAAGCTGGGCGGGTGATCCTAGTTGAGTGTAGTACGATGATCTGGTTGGTATGGAATTTCAACGTCGGACACACGGACGAAGCCTCTGGGTTTCGTTCCACTCGCCGCTAGGCTGGGAAACAACAAAAGAGGAGCCCATCGAGGAGATGGACAAGTTAGGCTGGGAAACCTTCCGTAGAGTCTTGGTGAGAAAATTTGGATTGCACTTTAGTCATTTGAAAGTCTCAAAACAGGCTCCTTGTGGATGATGCGGATGAGGATGAAGATGAGGATGGGGATGAAGATAAAGAGGAAGATGATGAGGATGAAGATGAGGATGAGGATGAGGATGAGGATGATGATGATGAGGAGGAGGAGGACGATGACGATGATGATGACGATGATGATGAGGAGGAGGAGGAAGAGGAGGAGGAGGACGATGACGATGATGATGATAATAATAATGATGATGATGAGGAGGAGGAGAAGGAAAATGAGGATGACGATGACGATGACGATGACGACGGCGATGACGATGATGATGATGATGATGATGCTGGCAGCGGTGGTGGTGAAGGTGAAAGGGGGGCATCATGAGTTTTGCCAGCGAAGTCACGGGGAGCTGCTTTTCCCTTGGACTTCTCGTGCAGGACTAGTGGACTAAGAAAAGCAATCTGGCGATTTCGGTTGGGGTGCGATCGCCGTACAGGGAATCAAAGATCAATCTGGAAGAATGCCAAAAAACAGGGCGGCCAACTGCGTCAAGCATGATTCAACCCTTTTGAATTCCATTCGCCACAAGGCTACTCCGGATACTCCCAGGAAGATATGTATAATATATATATATATATACAATATCTCCCTCGCCCATCGATCTGAAAGGCCCCAGCGGCGAAAGTTTGGCATGCCAAGGTCAATGGGATCTCCTCATTGTTCAGGAAGACCAATGGGAGATTTTCGTAGCTGCTCATTTGGCCTTGCAGACAGACGAGTGGCAACACGTGTGTTGGCCTAACGAGTGTAAAAGGGCGGGGACCGTCGTTTCAAGGCGCCCAGTTAGGCTTGGCACAACAAAGGCGCATGTCGAAAGGTGGTTATATAAGACGTGACAGGCTGCGTGCTGCTGTGAGACGTGACAATGTGTTCGTTGTGATCGTGGCAAATGTCTTGCCGTTCTCCAATCCAAACAAATTGTCAAAGGTCATCGAGACACAAGCGGTTCGAGATAGACTTGTAGACCGAAATGTTAGTGCCAGTGGCCCATGGTCTCACACCGATATGCCATGGTCTTGTACGTGTGTGTGTGTGTGTATTAAGACCCTCTAACCACTGGCCTTCTTGATGTTCCCCATCCTCCCGGGTCCTATACCTACAGGTCTACCTACACTCCCTGAAGTTCATCATGGAAGTGGAACATCACTGGTGTCATCCTGTCGGAGCCATCCCCAATTTGATGACGATTTGGGAGAGTGCTTTTCAGGAAAGCCATCCAGGGAGCCCGTAGGGAGCCCTGCATCGGTGAGCACCCCCGCAAAAGTCGGTCATCTGCATGAGTTGCTTTCGGACACCCAACAGTTTGTCCGAACTGCTATCCCAACCAATTGCAGTTGGGAAGAATCTTTGGGTCGCCCCGGTAGCACGGACAACAAGCCGTTCCATGGAGAACAAAACATCTTGCGAAGAGGCGTCAACTGTTGCTTCTAGGTGTGATACCGTACCACGGTGGCACACGAATCACGAATCATCTGGGGAATTCACGACGAATCCGACCGCCGAGCGACAGCACTTGGCACAGAAATGGGCCAAGTTCACCTGCGCCAGCTTCGGCCAGATGGCGGCAGCTGGGTTGTCCCACCAAAAATGAACAGAACAGACTACTAGGGAGGTCAACCCACAGATTACGGCTGGTGTCATGACCCACAGCCAGATGTGAAAACACCAAGCTCACAACTCACAACTATTCCAAAAGAAAAAATAAAAGGTCCAAAGAAGAATGGTCTTTAAAAAGGAATGAAGGTATAAAGAAGAATGGTCTTTAAAAAAAATGAAAGAAAGAAAAAAGGTCTAAAAAAGAAAGGAAGGAAGGTCTAAAGAAGAAAGGTCTAAAAAAGAAAGGAAGGAAGGTCTAAAGAAGAAAGGTCAAAAAGAAAAATAGACTGCTAATAGACTGCTAATACTACGACTGCAACTCTTCTGACCGAAGAAGGATAACTACCTTGAGACCTGGAGCACCAGTCGTATTTCACTCTGAGTCTGTTTGGAGCAAAGTGCTTTCAGTGTAGTTAGCGAGAATCGAGCTTGGATCGTGTATCTTTACTTCAGGCGTGTATAAACATTCACAAATTCATGCGAATTCTACTATACAAGCCTCTCAAGGTATGTGGTTGACCCCTCAGATTCGCCTCAGAAGGAGTTAAAAGACGGAGTCACGAGTCAAAACAATTGCTCGCCTGCCTGCCGAGAGAAAGCGAGATCAATCCGCCGCATGGGGGTCAAAGGGAAACTACCCGCCATCCCCACTGGGGAAGAGGGCAGGAAAGCGTTCAATCTGCCGCATGGCTCCAAAACAAAACCGATAAGTCGAGCGGTCCCCGTCTTCCCCAATTTGGAGCTTCAGGATCCAGCTGCAAAGTCATTCTTGAAGGATTACCAAAAACAAAGAATGACTTTGTAGACCTGCATGTCCAAGGCTCTGTTGTTGCAAGGGAGGCCAAAGTGACCTTTTTGGAGTCCCTATATAATAGTATATAAGTGACCAGTCTACCAGGTCTTTTGACCTGATCCAACCAACCAGGGGATCAACTTCGGTCACGAACTGAACGACGTCCACATGAGTCTACCCAACAAAAAAGACAGTCTACCCAGCCCTCCCACATGTTCAGTGAGTTTCTGGTCGTGCCTGGAGCCCTTGATGCAAACCTTCACGCACATCGGACACTGGCACGCCCGGGGCCCCTGGAAACAACCGACCGAGCACGGCGGAGCCGAAGGGGAAAACGGCGGAGCCGAAGGTCTCTCGGCTCATGGCAAGCTGCAACAAACATGCGCTGGACAAGTAGAAGTAAAACTGGGTAAGGCCGATCCATGGGACTTTGTACCCTTTGAACCCACGATCAGCGGACCCTGATGTCGTAAGTATGCGTTGGACCCTGATTGTTGAGGCCTCCGAGGGTGAAAAAAGGTCCAAGAAGGATCACAATGTCTCTCCATTTCGCATCTTTCGGCCGTGTTTGGCCATTTGGGCCAGATGCCAAAGCGTTGGACCCTGGAAACCCTGGGAAAATGCTGGAAACCGGCGATTTTCCAGCATCCGTCTCCTCACAAGACAGGCTTTGTCAATGAACCTTCACTAATGCCAGGGACCCCAATTTGTAGCCAGTGACTCCGTACATCTCTCCCCAATGGGGACGCGCTACTCCCTGGCAGCCGAGCCGTCGGTCTCATGCGTTTGGTTCCTCACCGCTTCACCGAGCCACCCAACTTGCCCCACTCACGCCTGAGAGGCACTTCATCACACGAAAGCAAAAGTCGCAAGCTTCGTGGCTGGTGAAATTCACCACGGCCAGTTGCTTCCAGGGGAGATGGATGAAGTTATAAGGCCGCTGGTTTGCATGATAACCACAAAGGCCTCGGGCGCTCAAAACGTGGCTGTGCCCTTTGGCCCCCTCTTTAAGGACGAAGACGGAGAAGGCGAAGCGCTGACTTAAATGCTGACTTCCCTTCCCGGCACACTCCCAAGAACTAAGAGGGTGATGGATGGACCTTCCATTTCTTTTCTCCCATCATTTCATCCGAAATCTTTCTATCTTCCCAAAGGTGTGACTTCCTTCGAATTCCAGACCAAGTCCAGTCATTTGGGCTGGAACTCCGCTGCAAGCGACGATGCAAGGCCACCACGAAGTCCTCTTGCGAAAGCCTGACGGGTGGGTGAAATCTCCGGAGGGGGGAAGAGAATTCCGGGCCAAAACGTTTGAGACGACCGGCGTGACACGACCTGCCGGATCGGCGGGATCGGCCGCCATCGCCACGAGCGCTAGTCTCGAGCCAGCGGACCGCCGCTCGAGAGCGCCCGTGGAGTGGTGCAAGCCTTTGGCGGGGTTTGGGGGTCTGTCTATGACCCAGGCCCGACACGATGCCATTTCTGGGGCTTACAACACACATGAATGAAGGGTCTGAAGCAAGAGTAGCAGGAAACATTTTCTCTTGGGTTGTCAATGTCGACAGATTCTATTCCACCAAAGTCGGGAGTGTCCGAGCATAGATCTTTATGTTCAAACAAGAACCTTGTAAGCAGCACAGGCACAATTTGCTGGGCAAGGTCATCTTCAGCCGTTGATAAACGTGAAAAGCAGTGCTCGATTGGAGACCTTCTCAAGATCTGAGGAAACAACAGGAAAGGTGCCGCAGGTTCATCAATGAGATCTGACAGCATGTAGGCACGAAACAAATGAGAAGAATGTGACCCGTAGGTGAGTAGTGCGAACGAATGCAGTCTGATATGCTGTTCCACCTATAACTTTGGATTCTCTCTAGCATTTTCACTTCACTTCGGCAAGGGTGCTAAAATCACTTCAATTCACACGAGCGGGCATGCGACACCAGAATATTGAACTCATGTCCGCCATTGTCCAGAGCTAGTCAATTAGTTCCAAGCGACTTGGTGGAGAGTTTGAAGAGGATGGACGTAGCCGCTGGTGAGAGCTGGCACTCTTCTGTCTGGGTGTGCACCATTGTCGCGAAGCACTCAAACAGGAAGAGAAACGTGCGGCCCCGACCAAAGGTTTGAGCAAGAATGGCTTCGAAACCGCAATCGCTTCCCCGGCCCGAAGACCAAAAACAAAACATGCCAGCTTTAACTTGGAAGGAAGCTTCTCAGATAAACAATCACTTGAGCGGAAGAGACCGAAACAATCAGTCAGTGAACTGCCGGTGCAACAGTGACTTCGGCAGTCCAATGCAACGGTCGGTTAGATCGTCGCCCCTCCAATACCAGACAGTGAGCATCAGCGCCATGTGCCACGATGTACAGTAAAAGAACCATGGAATTATGTGCTTACCTCAGACCCGACGAGGCCGTCGAACGGCCGTCGAACTGTCCGGGTCGGCGTTTCGGTCGACGTCCGCCGCGTCCGCACCAAGCGGACCGGGAAACGACGGAGACATCCATCGGTCTTTTTCTCTTGGGCCTCTCTGACCGTCCGATTCTCAAAGCATGGATGTCCTCCATTCGAAAAAAAACGAAGTGAAGCGGAAGGACCCCACTGATCTGCCAATAGCTGTTCCCTATCCCAAGAGCAAAACTAAGTAGTAGCTGCTACCCAGATCACTGAACCTCCCCTAAAAAAGGACTCACCAAAGAAGAGAGACATGGACATTCATGTTGATGTCAACCATGCTTTCGAGAGATCGACCCGTTGACCCACCCAAAACCACCGAACTGCAACTCATCTCGACCCCACGCGCGCGCGCGCGGAGGCCCCACCTGAAGACGGGTTAGGGTTCCGGGATGACGTCAAAACGAGACGAGGACGTCCACGCGGAGGACATTGCAGATCTTGTTGCGTTCGAATGTCTGTAAGCGTCTTTCGGTTTTGAGAGGGTGCCATTGGTTGCCACGGCAAGTCGTGCATGGCTCTAGTAAGTGCATCATTGTGCAAAACAGTCGACATGAAAGTTCCGGTGGATAGTGCAAAAAATCTGTTGCACATTTCTGACATGAATGGCTGATGGTTCATCATGAGACCGGGTGTGGCAAAGGTCTGTTGAAGCAATTGTTGAGATAAATCACATCGAGCTGGGATAATTGGACAACTGTTGTTATTTTTTATGTTTTCTTGTGTTTTTTGAGCCTGGCGGCAAAGTGGAAAGTAGGAAAACCTAAGCCGTGATTGGAAGCTGAGCACTTGGACTAACAACTCAACACCAAAAGTCAAAGTTTTTCAAGCCGCAATCGTTCTGCAAGACCCTTCCGCAAATCTACCATGCACCACGGCCAGAACGGACGCACAGTCCACGGATTCTTGTGGACTCCTGGACTCCTGTCTTCTATAAATTTTGGATGTTTGTGGTTTTCCGTGGAAGTTTGCCGAGCTGACTGAATGACGGCAGGACGTGGCAAAGAACTGCAGGTCTAAACGGCGTGTGAAACGTCCATGCATCGTGCTGGACAATTGAGCAAACAAGTGGGAAGATCAATGAGAAGACAACTGAGGAGACAAGCAAGAAAACACGACGGCAAGAAACAAGTGGGGAGACAAGGAAGAAGGGCACAAAGCAGCAACTGCAGACCAAACGCCGCACAGGCAAAAAAACAGGGACATGCCAGGACAAGTGGAGAAAAGGCAATGGCGGCAGCGGTGGACCAAAATGCCTGTCAGCCACCCCGTCATTGAGGAACAGTGGAGTCGTTCCTAGGTTTGGTGTCTTGTTTGCAAAAACTGAAAGTTTATTGCATTTTTTTGAACTCTGGGGGCCTGGTGGGTCTGGCCGGAAGGATGCCGAGGGGATTTTCATTCTATTTTATGATTTTGGTCTCCAAGCTTGGCCTTTTGCAGGAAGTCGCAATACTCCGAGTGCCACTCCCAGTGGTGGCTAGGGCGATCTTGCCTTAACAACAGAAAGAGGCCACATTTGATTGGCCGCTCAGAGATTTCACCCACACTCAGATGCATTTGGCATCGTAGTGAATTCAGGCCCTTAGATAGTACTCCTGGGGGAACAGAATTGGTCCTCAGGTTTCACGCCCATTTCAGAGTCCCACTCTTTCATCTAGCATTCTGCCACCTCCGGCCCATGGCTCCACCTGCGCCAGCAGCAAAACACGCTCTCGACGACGCAAAGTAGTGCCCAGTTCCCTCCCCCCAGTTCCCTCTCCCCAGTTCCAGTTCCCTGTCCCCAGTTCCCTGTCCCCAGTTCCCTGTCCCAAGTTCCCTGTCCCCAGTTTGCTGCCCCCAGTTCCCTGCCAGTTCCCTGTCCCAGTTCCCTGCCCCCAGTTCCCTGTCCCCACTTCCCTGTCCCAAGTTCCCTGTCCCCAGTTTGCTGCCCCCAGTTCCCTGCCCCCAGTTCCCTGTCCCCAGTTCCCTGTCCCAAGTTCCCTGTCTCCAGTTTGCTGCCCCCAGTTCCCTGCCCATCCCAGTTCCCTGCCCCCAGTTCCCTGTCCAGTTTGCTCCCCCCAGTTCCCTGTCCCAAGTTCCCTGTCCCCAGTTTGCTGCCCCCAGTTCCC